CTTTCCTCTTTATAAATTCGGCCATATGGCCTTTGTAAAAGACATCTTTTGGAATATAAAACTTTGTTACTCTTTGAGTATTCTTAAAATAGTGTGATGCTATTTTAGCCAAATTCCTAATTCTATATCTTAAGAGTGGTTCTCTTGAGTGTGAGTTTTAGGTTCTCGTTATTTGATTGAGTGTGTAATATCTTGATTAAATACTAGAGTTTAACCCCAAGTTAATCTAGAGGTGAGCTTATCCTTTAGTAATAATTTGGCTCCAAATTAAGATAAGAGTGTGTTTATCTCTTATTCCTTATTTGGAATTTATCCCATCCTTTCTAAGCCCATCCTCCATCCCTGATTTTCCACTCTTCTTCATAATATCAAAAACCCAAAAGAACTCCTTTCACATACTCCATATTTTGTCCAGCCCATTCCCAACCTATACACCTCCATGTTCTTCCCATTTCCAAGCCTAGAAACATCAACTTGATAAGACCCCCGGTTCACCCCTAACACAAATATTATTTTATCTAATTAAGATACAATATATATTTTATTTAATTATAGGTCAATGGTTGAAAACGGTTGACTGGAAAAAGTCAAAACTGGACTAATACTTTCGGACGGAGGTAGCATATATTTATATATAAATAGAGATATTAATTGTTAAAATGTTACTCCGTATGTAGGTAATATATGAGACCATTAAAAATCAAACTAGACAAAAAGATATGAGACGAATATTTATTTGGAGCGAAAATTTACAAAAAGTGGAGATTTTTATTATTATTTTGGAACAAAAAAAGACTGCATATTCATTAAAAAAAGACTGCATATGTTTTTAGGATGAAAGGAGTACAAGCATAGGAGCCAATTACAAACTGAATTCTTTTTTTATTAAAAATTGGTTTTAATAATGTATTCTACTAGTTTAATTATTATTTATGAAATGAAAATAGTAATTATTTTTCTTTAGATCATTTTTGCAAGACACAAGACACAACATGACTTGTAATCCTCCAAATAGTTGTGCATTCTTTTTTCTTTCATTAAGAATTAGGTAACTCGTAAATGAGCATGCACTATTTTTGCAACTCATAATGGTTTTTCACCTTTCACCTTTCTTTGGGGGATTTTTAATAATATAGTGATTTAATTATTTTGTCTGAAATAAAAAATATCTTGTGTTTTTGTCTTATCTAAATCATTCTTTTGCATAAGTAGAGAAAAACATATAAATCATGTGAAATCAGTCATTTCTAATGCAAAATTAACATTGTTGGGCCCGTATCATTTTTGTTATTATTTTGATATATAAAATGCGATGTAGAATTATTTTTGTTTGGTTGAGACGTCGTTAGATTATTTATGTCCATTTTTACCTTCATCTAAAATTCATAAAAAGTATTGCTTCATTAGACCCTTTATTTTTGTTACATAGATTAGTGACATGCAAGTTAAGAAACTAAAAGTTATATTATTGAAATTGATTTTAAAAAGTAGGAAAGTAAGAGTGAGTGTGAGTCACACAAATATTACTATGATTTGGGACAAAAATATAATGACAGAGGAAAGTAAAGAGAGAGAAAAAATTGAAAAAGAATAGTATTAATTATTTAAACAAAATATGTAGTTTATTAAAGATATATGAAGATGCGGAATGTATCATTTGGCTAGAAAGGAGTGTAAGATGGCTGTGAGGAGAGCATGCAATAAAGCATATCCAGATTTTTGTAAGGAGTTAGAGACAAAAGATGGAGAACATAACGTCTGTAAGATTGCAGAGAACAAGGAAAGCGTGAGATTTAGATCAAGTGAGGTGAATAAAAGATGAAGGCAAGGTTTCGGTTACGGATGAGGATATTAATAGATGGGAAGCTTCTATAAACTGTTCTAAGTTGAAGGGGGAGGCACAAATTGTGAATTAGAAGATTCGAGAGCCCAAGAAGGTGAGTTGAATTTGTCTCTTTACAGACCGTAGGATTCAGGTTAGAGAGGTTATGGGAGCTCTTTTGAGAATGGATATTGGTAAAGCTGTTTGACCTGATGGTATTCCCATTGAAGTTTGGAAATGTTTGAATAAAATTGGTGTGGTGTGGCTCCCCAAGCTGTTTAATGCGATTTTAAAATCTAAGAAAATGCTGGGTGGATGGTGAAAAAGTACCCTGGTCCTGATTTATAATGATAAAGAAGATATACAGAACTGTACAAACTATAGAGCAATCAAACTGATGAGTCATGTTCTGAAATTATAGGAAAAGGTGATTTAACACTTGTTGAGGTTGGAGACAGAAATTTCTGAACACCACATTGGTTTTATGTCAGGAAGATTCACAACAGAAGCGATTATTTACTGAGAGGATTAATAGAAAAGTACCGGAGTAAATGAAGGGATTTACCTATGATTATTACATTGATCTGAAAAAAAGTGTATGATCTCGTGCCAAGAGATGGACTATGAAAAGCATTGGAAAAGAAGGGGGTGCGGGTTGCTTATATCAGGACAATTAAAGAGTAAAGACATGTTTGAGGGGGTAACTACAAGTGTTAGAACACACTGTGGTGAGACAAAGGACTTCCCTATAAGCATTGGCCTACACCTGGGCTCAGCTTTTAGCCTTTATTTGTTTAGCCTAGCTGTAGATGTTCTAACTCAGCCCATCAGAGAAGAGATTCCTAACTGCATGCTTTTCGTTGATGATATAGTCATTTTAGCCCAATCCAAGGAGGAAATTAACTATAAGTGTGAGATTTGGAGGGCTTTGGAGTTGAAGGGCTTTCGTCTAAGTAGGAACAAGACTGAATATATGCACTGCAAGTTTGATAAGGGGACTCCGAAGTGATGTGGAAGTTAATCTGGGGGACAAGTCATTCTGCAAGGGTCGGCATTTAGATACTTGGGTTCTTAGTGTATGAGGATGATGATATCGATGAGGATGTCAATCATAGAATTCAAGTCGGATGATGAAAAGGTGGCTTTACCGGACTGTTATAACATCAGCAATCCTCTGTGGTAGCGAATGCTGGGCTTTAAAGGGGCAAGATGAGCATAAAATAGGGGTTGCTGAGATAAGGATGTTGAGATGGATGTGTGGTTATACTAGAAAAGAAAAGATTTGTAATGTTTTGATTCACGAATGGGTTGGAGTGGCAGCTATAGAAGGGAAGATGGTAGAATATCGATTGAGATGATATGGCGTCCACTTAAGGCTCCATTGAGAAGCATTGATAAAAAAGAATGGAGTCCCATAAAAAGAGGTCGAGGACGGCCTAAAAGAATTATCTGCAAACTCATAGTCCCATATCTTTCTTCTCACTTTCCTTTTTGAGCCGTCCCATTTGTTTTATCCCGTTTTCTAAAATGGAAATAAAATATCCTTCAAAAGACCTTTTACCCTCTCACCCTGTCTGTCAATCTACCTCGTCTCTCTCTCTCTTCCTCTCCACAACGTTCATGTCTCTCTCTCTTTCTCTCTCTCCAATTTTCATCTCTCCGCTACCTTCTCTCTTCTCTCCAAAGTGCACCAACTCATCACCACCATCTGTCCTCCAATCTTCGTTCGGCACCGGAAAAGGATCAATGACGAATTGGCGCAGCAGATCTTGATCCATTCTTTCTTCGACGATGGTAACAAAGACGGCATGTGTCTGGAGGAGGGGGGGGGTAAAATTTCAGATTTGATTTTTTGATTTCTTTTTCATCTTCTCTTCATTTCAATGCTAGATTTTATTTTCTTGAGTGAGATAAGATGAGATTCACTTTTAATTTCACTTTGTTTTTCGATTTTGGTTTCGTTGAAGAAGATGAAAAGATTTGATTTTTTGAAGAAGATGATGAGATTTGTCTTTGTTGAAAAAGATGAAGAGATTTGATATTGTTGGAGAGATTTGATTATATTTACTCCAAAAGAAGTAGAGATTTTGGATTTTGATTTGAAGGAGAGACACATGGATGACGGAAGGTGATATTATGACTGGTCTGAGAGTCTGAGACGAAGAAGAATGGAGGAGCAAAATTGGAAAGTCAATATATTTTTCAGTTTACCTTAAAACCCGAGCCAAGTCAAAATCGGAAGTTTCAACTTGGACGGAGGGAGAATATCACAATGGTGTCGTGTGATCCATGTGGTCGGTTCCACCTAGTCAGATTTAAGGCTCAGTTGTTTGATTGTTAGTCAGGAAGTTCATCGTCTCAGGATATTTTTCGTACATGTGGAAAACACCTATGATGATGAAAGTTTTAAAACTTTCATCTCATTATTCCTTATGAATTTGCAGCAGCAAGGCATCTCACCCCAAGCATTGCCAATATGTTATTTGCATAGATGTATAGTGTGAATTAATTTTACACAATTGATTGGCACTAAAAAATAATGCCACTAAGCCAACTAGTTGGGATAAGTAAGATGCTGGTAATGATAATGATTAACCTAGTGACAAAACTAATTAGTAATAGTTTGCGGTTTGTAACAAATTGCTTAGTAAAACCAAGGAATAATTGCACTGTATAAAGTGCTTAGTGAAACTAAGGTACAATATCTACCAATCCTTTATCCTTCCAAAGCCTTCCTCCTTAACCCCTTCATCCTAACAGACCCTATTTGTTGATGGTTTTGCTTGTTTGTCGCGCAGGAGAACTCATACCGGCATGGTTCCGTAAAGGCTCTCTTCCTCCTCCACCGCCTTCACTTCCTCTCATTCTTGTTGGGCCTGGGACAGGGTGCGCACCTTTCCGTGGATTCATCGAGGAAAGAGCTCTCCAACGCCAATCCGGCAACAACATTGCTCCAGTTATCTTCTTCTTTGGTTGCAGAAACAAGGAAAACGATTTCTTGTACAGAGATTTTTGGCAATCTCATTCGCAGAATGGCAAAGTTCTCTGTGAAGAGCAAGGAGGAGGCTTCTTTGTTGCCTTCTCCAGAGACCAACCCCAGAAGGTCTATGTGCAGCACAAAATGAGAGAGCAGAGTGTAAAGGTGTGGAATCTGTTGGCTGAAGGCGCCGCTGTCTATGTCGCCGGCTCTGCAAGTAAAATGCCTTCCGATGTTCTTTCTGCTCTGGAGGAAATCGTGTCGGATGTTACCGGGGAATCTAGGGATACCTCTATGAGGTGGCTTCGGCGTTTGGAGAGGGAGGGTAAATACCATGTTGAAGCCTGGTCTTAAGCTCTCCTCTCATGTCCTCTTTTTTTGACATATATTTCCTAGTGTATTACTCCGTATTAGTTTTACTCTTGTTGTTACTCCACTCCAATTTTGGTTTGGAGAGGCTGTGGGTATTATTATTTGTTTCTTGAAAATGTAATTTTTTTAAATTGTATTTTAAATTTATTTTTTGGGTTCACATACCACTTGGAATTGTAATATACTTAGTTTTGATGATGTATCCTGCTTCAAGCACATATTCCCCCCTACCCCCCTAAGAATTTAAGAGGCAAGTGACCCTGAAAACCTAGAGCACATGCCACATTGAATGTATGATGGTGTCTACATTTTATTCATTTGGTCTGCTGTGGATTTCCTTCATAAGAAGTCTCAAATATTATTCCTTGAACAAAATGACATTTCGTGCAAGTAAATTTTGCCTTGTAAATCAATTAAATTGTCTGCAACCAAGCCTAATTAAATTTTCATGCCCAACTTCATCTTTATCACTTACGACATCTCCCATCCTATGATTATTTACACTTTTTACTGTTCAAAAATTATGAGAATTTTTGTTTATTTTTATATTTTCATTGATTATACGATGAAATAAAATATTCTTTACATTTTTTTGTTTTGTAGAATCTTAATGTGTTTTAAAAATATGTACTCCCTCCGTCCCGTTCAAAATTGCCTTTTTTGACTTTTGGGCATATTTAAGGAAGAGAAAAAACAGAGTTGATTTTCAGAAATTGCCATTACTTTTTAAGAGGGGTGATGATGAATGGGAAGATAATGTGGAGAAGAGCGATTTATTTTAGGGGTAGTTTAGGTATTTTACTCTTAAAAATTTATTATAACAAGTAACGTGCAACTTATTTTGGGACGGAAAAAAAGGCTAACATACTCTCTCCGTCCTAAAACTTTCTTCCCATAGCACTATTCCAACTTCACGGGAATTTATATTTATTTGTGTTTTTTCATGGCCTATATGATAAAATAAAATATTTTTGTCATCACTTGTTTTGATGAACTTTTGATGTAGTTTTTAAATATGTATATTTTATTTTTTATTTCTATACCAATATTTAAATAAAATAGATTGAAAAAACTTGGGATTTTTCTTCGTTTTGCGCAACGGGAAGAAAGTTTTAGGACGGAGGGAGTACAATTTAAAATGGGAAAGAAGGAGTAATTTTTTTCGTATATATAACAATCTTTAACTAAAATGAATTGAAAAAATTTAAAATTTTATTTCGTTATGAGTAAAATAATTGATTTAGAGAGGTTGGAGTATAGGATAGATTTGAATAGCATGAAATATAAAACCGTAATAAGTACGGGGTACTCCATAAAAAACACTTGCACCACTCTAAGAAATCTCACGATGAACTCCCCAAAAATTACAATGTATTGTGGAAAAGATTTAATTGTCTTATTAAATTATTTAAATATGATCACTGTTTAGGTCTAACAAAAGTTGTGGAGGGGGAGGTACAAATTTTGAATAACAAAATAGCTAGGATTTTAATTTAGTTTGAACTATTCTATGGTTAAAAATTCTCAAAATAAAATACTATATGAATTCTATATAAACAATTTTGTGGTACCAAACAAAGAATTTGAAATTGAACTGGAATTCAGTTCCATCCAATTTCATTTCATAGAATTTCAATATCAATTCAATTTCAATTTCGTGTACCAAACGAAGTTCAAGTGTTTATTGAATTATTCAAATATGATCTTGAGGAATATGAGCTTAACTATCTCTAATGATGGGTGTCCACTACACTTGTACCGCGCAACTCCTCATAATATGTCCCCTTCCGTAGTTTGTTCACTCGCTTCAATCAATGCCCTTGGAACATGATCTTGTTTTATACTTCCTCCGTCCCATAAAGTGTTACCCATTTTGACTAAAGTTGAAATTAAGAGAGTGATAATTTTGTGTTGACTTTCCAAAAATACTCTTGATGTGATGGGTAAAAGTAGGATGTGATGTGTAGATTATTATGAAAAAGGTATAATGTGATAGGTAGGGTTTGAAAAAGTAAGGGGTAAAAGTGGTTTTTTAATGGAAATGTTTAAGGGATTGTGGGACACAATTTTTTTGAAACGTGTAAATCTTTTTGGGACGAAGGGAGTATTACCTAACATGTTAGTAACCTGAACATTCTAATTCTCTGTCTCGAGAAACAGTACTTATACCATACATCCAGATGTACAGTGGGTGATTGGTAGAGTACTCATTTTTGTACTTTGCATGCTTTTGTGTTGCTCGAGCCAAGAATCTTTTGAAAACAGTTTGTCAACTTTAAGTATGAATGAAATCTGTGTGCACACACCCCCCTCAAACCCTGCAAAGTGGGTGGGGGGGAGGGGTCCACTAGGGTGTTCAGTTGAAAATGAATTATCCTAAGAATTTCAAAGAGGTGAATAACAATACTAGGTTTCAACTCTTCAACTATTGATGCCCTCCTATTTAGAGGTGAGGAGCTCCAACTAGTGATTCATATGCTTGAAAATGTTGTAGAAACCACCCAATAGTGGAGTACCTGTTTGGCCCTATTCAGAGGCTTGTTTGGTTCCAAGCTCTATAGTAAATTCACATTTAATACTCATATTTGCAAGGACTAATAATAGACAACATTTAAATACTTTGTGAAAGTTATTCGAGAATCTTTCCTCCGCTACCACTCTGAAAAACATAAAAACAAACACGCCCTAATGACCTAAAGAATCATTGGAGTTTCATGATAAGAACTTGATGTCAATCACCAGATACTGAATACTACATCTGTCACAGTATATTTGTCTAATTTGACTTTTTCGAGTCAAATTGGACAAACTTTAAACTCCAATTACTCTTAATTTATATTGCAGATAAGCATAATGAAATACAATTTTAAAAGTTTTTAATACGATAAATCCAATAAAGTCATTTTTATGTTAAAATACATTACAGTTTTATTTAATTGAAGCTCAAAGTTTGTCCAGTTTGACTCAAAAAAGTCAAACTGGACAAATATACTGGGACGGAGGGAGTATTTTAGTAAGATTACAATGGTAAACGGTTTTCTTACATTGTGACAAGCTGACAGAAAACATCTCAATCTTTTATGTTATGTTGTAATACATGGAATCACGTTTCTTTTTGTCATTTAATTAGTCTGACATGGCAAGTGCTGAGGCAAAACTCTAACCTCGCTTCACTGTTCGCTGAACATTTGGATCTTCAGGGTAATTTGTTCTTTTATTTCTATATCAATTTGTATATAAAATATTTTTAAAAGAGATAAGGTTTTGTACGTTGTTTAAAGTGAGATGATATTTTAGGGATGGAGAGTAGAGTATTATTACTTTTATTATTAATATTAATATTTATATTATTAATATTAGTATCATCATCATCACCATCAAAACGGGAATAGATATGGAATACAACGAGAAACAAATGGAAAGGACTTGCACACAAACACATACCTATAGTAAGAGCAATATAATCCCATCAGACACAGTTTATTACGAGATTAATTTTAGGTACCAACTCATCTAAGCCATAAAACTCCTGAATGACACCCTAATTCTACACACATAATGCAACAATTGCATAGCAGCATGATCCCCAAGAAAGATCAGAAACTATGGAATGAGCATGATTGGGTTCTTAATCATCCACGAAAAACAAAAATCCTCTCATGTCCTTAAAAATATCATAAAGCTCTGCGGCCATAAAGCAAAAGCTTGAGCTGTGAGTAACCAGTAAAATATAAGAGGAAAGCCCCCAATAGGTACCCATTCCCTTCCTACTTGTTTAATACTTCTTTATGCTAAACCAAAAATGAACACATGCAATGTATGGAGTATTTTGTGTGTGGAGCGGTTGTGATTGCGAGGCGGGGGGGGGGGGGGGGGG